CGGTCCATCTCCCCAGCCATCTCGCCGTCCTTCCGTCCGTCCCCCCATCCATCTCTCCATCCTTCTGTCCATCTCCTCATCCATCTCTCCATCCTTCCGTCCATCTCTCCTTCCATCTGTCTCCTGTCCATCTGTCTCTCCCTCCTTCCATCCATCCATCTCCCCTCCATGCTGCGCCACACCCCACCTTCTCCTCCCCCCTGGCAGGACACGTCTCTGCCTGGGCTCCTCCCAGACCTTCTACCTCCTGGTCAACAACAAGGGGCTGCCCAACATGGCCATCACCATGCAGGAGCTCTACCGCGACAACAAGGACGAGGACGGCTTCCTCTACCTCACCTACGCCTCCCAGGAGATGTTCGGCAGCTCTTCCTCCACCCAACCACCCATCGCTTGACCCCCAAAACCACCGCCCATCACCGGGGCCTCCTGCCTGCTGGTCTCAAGACTCCAACGCTCATGAGGTTGGAGTTGGATCTTCCCAAACTTGGCTTAAAAATTCCATGGGAAGCCCTAAATTGTGGCTGAACCCAACTTCTCCTCCTCTCTGGCTGCAGTTTGACGGGCTCAAGTCTTAAAACTGAGCTTAACGCCTCCTTAATCTCAACTCCTCCTAAATCTTGAGGCTTCAGAAACCCAATTATTCTCCCGACGCATCAGGAGATGGTGCTGGTTTCCTCTGAGCCACGGGAAGGTTGGTTTTCTAAAGGGTTTTTCAGCCTCTCATCCCTGTCCGGAAAATTTAGGCTCCTTCTTAAAGTCTCTCCTAACAGGATGGGGTATGGGGAGTTCAATGGGTTGGGCAGGGTTTTGTTAAGCTGTGTCTCAGTTCTAGCTGCTCCCGGAGCAACCCTGCTCTTGAAATGTGGAGTAAATAAAATTTTGGTGCCTCTTTGCTCATTCCTCGGATATTAAGCCAGGTTTAACCTCAGGGCTTTGAGCCTGGCTTTGCTGGGCTGGGGGAGCGAAAGGACAGGGTTTTGTTAAGCTGTGTCTCAGTTCTAGCTGCTCCCGGAGCAACCCTGCTCTTGAAATGTGGAGTAAATAAAATTTTGGTGCCTCTTTGCTCATTCCTCGGATATTAAGCCAGGTTTAACCTCAGGGCTTTGAGCCTGGCTTTGCTGGGCTGGGGGAGCGAAAGGACAGGGTTTTGTTAAGCTGTGTCTCAGTTCTAGCTGCTCCTGGAGCATCCCTGCTCTTAAAACGTGGAGTAAATAAAATTTTGGTGACTCTGCTCATCTAAACGCAGCTCATCCCT